TTATTATTATTATTATTAATGTTATTATTGTTATTAATATTATTATTATCTTCTCTCCTAATAGGATTGTTTAGTTCTCTTAATAGTTGCATTATTTGGGATTTTTTAGATGTGGTATTAGATTTGATTCTTCTAAATGTTCCTTTAGATTCGGTACTTTTATATATTAATTTAGTAGACTTGGTTGTAGATATCGATATTTCACCAGATTCAATTGACACAATAGATGCAGAAGCAGAAGCAGTAGGTTTAACAGAAACATTAGGTTTTGTAGATTCTGCTAATAAAAAAGAAGTGATAGATTTAGTAGATTCTGCTAGTATAAAAGAGGTAGAAAGTTCAATGAATTCAACAAGTATACTATTAGTAGATTTATTAGATTCTGTAGATTTGATAGATTCTATATTAATAATAGGTTTGATGGATTTGGTAAGCATGAGAGGTTCAATAGGTTCGGTAAACATGGTAGGTTTGGTATAATCAGTAAGTGAAGTAGAAATGATGACATATTCTAAATTCAAAAATAAGCTAATGGAACAGTTACTTTCTTAATGATCAACCAGTACATTTTTAACACCATTAGTTGTTTCTTGATACAGTAGATACTTTTCTCTAATACAATCTTTATGGTAAAAATGTTTACAATTTAAAATTGTAACTGCTTCTTTAATACTTGGATTAATAGCACCCTTGCATATCATACAAATATTATTTTTTGTTGTATCAATATTTGGTGAAATATCTTCAGGTTCTTCGTGGAAAATAACTTTATAACAAGATTGTTTTAAGGATTTTATGTTTGTTTTTTTAAAAAAAGGTAAGCTACATATTTATATTTATAACTAACTAATGATATTAAATTAACTCAATCTTATAATGATGAATATACAATATATATATTTGTTATGTGATATCATTAAACATTAGACTTTTCTTATGTGTAATACGTATCATCATAGCTTATTTTCTAATTAAGTAATTGATCGATATATCAATTACTATATTTTTAAGAGTTAAAAGTATTATGCGTACTGCTATGTATAATACATTTTGCATAAGCTATAGACTTATGTGTAATATCATCATAGCTTATTTTCTAATTAGATAATTGATCTACATATTGATCACTATATTTTTAAGAGTTAAAAGTATTATACATACTGTTATGTATAATATATTTTGCATAAGCTAATTAGAATCTAATACGTAAAACCAGGGTTGTCAATGAACCAAAATGTGGTTTAGTAGCTACTAATAGACTATGTTTATTGACAATGCATATCATAGTCTATTGCTAACCCTTAGGCTGAAGTTCGTCTGATTGGCTAATAAATTTAATTTTATATTGTTTACAATTTAGAATACTTTTTTAAAAAAATAAAAACTAATCATAATAAAATAAAAAAATATAAAGAAAGTTTTATTAGAGCTGTAGAACTGCATAGTCAAAAATAATTTTATTAGGTTTTGAGAAATATTACTATGCTAACTTTTTTAAATAGGTGAGAATTAGATTTTATTTTTGGCTATAAAATCTTATAGCTCTAATAAAACTTTCTATACAACTTTTTATTAGGTCATTATTATTAGTTTTTATTTTTTAAAAAGCACTTTAAACTATATAAATAATGTAAAATTAAATTGAATTTATTAGCCAATTAGACAAACTTCTGCTTATGAACTAGAATAGTCAGTATGATATAGCAATGTATTAGTTTCTGACCTTATTCTAACCCTAATCAGATGACTATATTATATGGATAAAGGTCACATGATCACATTTTTTATAGACTAAAACTTCAAAAAATATGCAAAATATTTATGGTCATATAATCTTATTTGTATAATATATCATATGATTAGCAGTTAAGGTAGGGTATCCAGAATTATGATATGAAGATAGCCAAATTATACATGTGACAAATCATAAATTATATGAATTATATAAATTTTGTGTTATTAGCCAATAAAATTTCCAAAAAAATGACAAGTTAGGTGATTACAGTCACAGAGACAAACCAGTTTATTTATTTAACCAATCAACTTTGGTTCACATACTGCATGAAAGTGAACGAATTATGCGATTTCATATTGTAAAAATTGCAAATTATACGCATATTATGCCAGATCATAATTCTGGACACTCTAAGTTAGGGTTAGTAAAAGGGTCAGAGATCAGCTAGATCATGTAGGGTAGAAATATTGCAAAAGTTATCATATGAATATGTAGTCTAGAAATCATTTGGGCAGTTGTGCACCAAATAACAATACAGTCAATAATTGGTACAAATTTTGTTCTCTAGAATTAAAAAAGAATTTTCTAATCATATGATTTGTGTTTCATAAATTTGAAAAATCCTGAGATTTATCAAAAAAAGAGTATTATACATGGCAATATATTAAGGAACTAAACAATCCTATTAGGAGAGAAGATAATAATAATATTAATAACAATAATAACATTAATAATAATAATAATAA